CATGCGCCTGTATTTTTCATCGGCGTCGCCTTGTGTTCAAGGGGTGATTTCGCCTGAACATGGATGCCCCGCTCCGTGATTTACCATTCGTTTCTTTTTCAGGTCATCGACTGGCGGCCGGTCAGACTGCGGCGACCCAAGAAGCAATGCAGGAAGTCGATTTTACAAATGAGCCTGGGGCCCCGCTGACTTAGGCCCGCCTGGGAAACCCCCGAAACCCCGTAAAACTTGGCTGCCGGCCCCTCAAACGCCACTCTGGGGGCGTAAAAATTAGGCAGGGCTGGAGAAAGAGGGGACGGCGATGAAATGGCGTACTGCGGCGTTTATCTGAGAGGCCTGAGGACGAAACCGAGTGCCCTGGGGGGCTGGCTGGTGGCTTGCGATGCCGATCTTAGCGCTCCCCATGTGGCAAGCTGACCCTGGGAGGCTTGGTGTCTTGGTGTGTCGCATGCCCCCTTCCTTGTCTTCCCGCCTTTCCCTTGCTTGCGCTGAAGGGTTTTCCTCCGAGACAGGTCAGTGGGCGGGATTCGTGGTGTCTCATCGAAGTCCGGTTCTGGAAGACGACCTGCGTCTTCGAACCACCCCGCGAGCACGTCAGTCGGCTGATCCTGCTGCATGTTGACATGCAGCAGCAAGTATGGGAACGAGACCTTGACAAGAGGGGGAAAAAGAGAAAGAGCCCATCATCAGGACGCAAATACTCGGACAAAAAAACATGCAATACCCAGCCTTGCCAGGCTGCCCATCTGCTGTCAGGCCCGAATCCGGGTGATGCCCGAGTCAGTGAGCCACCGTTGTGAAAGCTGAGATGAATCTCTGGGGAAGAATTTTCACCCATTGCCAATCTCAATACGGCCCTGCAAAGAGCTCTGCGCAACTCAACTTGGACAGCATGGGCAAGTGTTGGCGAGTTGGCGCCGAGATCGCACGACGCCTTTGATCCTTCCATCCAGGAGCCCCTCTCGGTAGGACGAATAGTAGCCACAAGCCACGCGAGCAGACGGGTGAGGGGACGGCAAAACTTGCCGGGTCACTTCGTTTCTGTCAGTCATGGCCCCTCAACCGCCCTTTCGACCAAGGTCGGCGTCGGCTCGGTCTCGCGGTCGGGTGGGGGTAATGCGGACGAAGGCATGGGACTGAGAAGGGGGCCGAAGGGGGACCCTGACGGCGCGCGGGCTACAGGGGTCAGGAGAAGAGGAACAGGGAGAAAAACCGGACATTGCCAAGCGGGTCGTGGGGGGTGCGGCCCATCGGGAACGGGTGCGACGTGTGAATGGCGGCTTCGGTCGTCTTTTTGCACTGCTCATCCCGGCAAGACCTGGATGTTGACCCAGCAAAGTGCCTGTTGTGAAAGCACTGGCTCGTTGTGAAAGCACTGGCTTGTTGTGAAAGCACTGGCTTGCCGTGAGCCACTGCGGCGGGTGGATGGGCAGGCATGATTGAGTGTCCGCGATCAGGACTGCCACAGCCATGAGCACGACCTGTGGGAAGCAGGACACGGAAAGTGGGAGGTCATGCTGCAGTGGCTTATCGAGAGTGGGAAGCTCCACGATGATCCTTCGAGCCGGAACCTCGCGCCATGTCGTGGCGAGGGTCCTGGTACCTTGAGGTGCAGTTGGGTGCAGAAACAGAAAGGGAGCACAGCGCTTCACATGTCGGACATTCCCGTGGGAGTGGTTCTGTTCTGGGCCACCGTTCGGGTCACTGGCTGGCCAGACTGCTTTGCTAGAGCTTTCGGAAAGCCAAGAGGTGAAGAGGGGCGGACAGCAGAGTTTGGGGTGGTGTGTCGTTGGGCTCACTGGGCGTGCTGGGCTCGCCCCTGGCGGGTTCTGATGAGAGCTTCCCAGGCAAGGATCGCTGAGAGGGGGCCTGTAAGGCCAGGGCATTTTAGGGGACAAGGTAGCGTGCGTACGAGCCAACGGCAGGCGCTGCTTGACGATGCCGTCGCCACCCGATGCCACACCCGCCTGGGGACGCTAACACCAACGTCCACATAGCTCCGAGCACGAGCAATTTCTATTGGATGATGGCGTCCTGATGGATCTTATCTGATCATCTGATAAATTACCCACAAGAGCAAGCGGAAACGACTGAGACAAGACACAACCAACAGAATCAGAGTGAGAGGCCGAGTTCGAATTTTCTCCTCGGAACTCTTGGCTTGGCCTAGATCTGGAAAACTTCTGGCCTTTGGTGGGGCTGATCCCTGCTCTCTTTCTGTCTCTCTCTCTCGCTGTCACTGTGTTCCGAAGCCTGGCACGCCAGCCTGACCCGCCCACACCACCCGGTACCTACCTCCCTGCACCAGCACCAGTACCGGCCGGGCTTGCAGCGTGGGCTTGCGAGGCTTGCAGGCGCAGGAGCTTGAGAAGGAGCAGGAGCGACCCCCGTACCAAGTAGGCCCGTGGTGGGGTCACTACTGGGTAGGTCCTGCATCACATCTGAGCGTGATGGGGTCTGATGGGACCGATGGCACTGATGGACGGGAAGCTTTGCCTGGCGTGCCATTGCCGATTTTGCTTATATAGTATCGACGCACTGCAACTGTCGATCCCGCTGTTGCTCCCGTTCCCTTCGTCCTCATCCCTCTCCTACAGACCTGTGAGCGCCCTCCTTGTCTGCGTGGTTCTTCGCAAGCAGCCGACTACACCATCGTCTCATCGATCCCGGTGCTCTACCCGACCATGGCTTCCTACCCTCAAGAGACCCTGCCCAAGGGCGACGGGGCCCCTGCCTACCTCCAGGCCCCGTGCCTGCCCTCGGCTCTGCGCCTGTTGTCGGCACTGCCAACGACAACATCGACATTGAGAAGAGCGTCGCCGCCAACCAGGCCGTCGACGAGATCCCTCACGATGACCTTAAGGCTGACTCGGATGCCGACTCGGCCAACTTCCAGGGTGGTGTCCGCCGTGTGCGTGCCATCACCACTGTCTGGTCCAAGAAGACGCTGTGGCTGATGTTCGCCCTGTACGTTTTCCTGTCGCGGATGAATTGACTGTGAAATTATAGCTGACAGCTCAAAACAGTCTCTACCTCGTCTCTTTCGTCGATCAACTGACCGTCTCCATCACCTACGCCCTGAACCCCTACATCACCTCGTCCTTCGGCAAGCATGGCCTTCTCGCCACCGTTGGCATCGTGTCCAGCATCGTCGGCGCCTGCACGTCCCTGACGCTCGCCAAGGTTATTGACATTTGGGGCCGTATCGAGGGCTTCATCTCCATGACTGTCATCATTGTCATTGGCACCATCATGAAGGCGACTTGCCAGAACATGGAGGCCTACGTCGCCGCTCAGACGCTTTGGTGGGTTGGCCACCTCGGCGCCCTGTTCACCATCGACGTCATGTTGGCCGATATGACTTCGCTGCGCAACCGCATGATCATGTTCACTGTCAACGGCACGCCTCTGATCTGCAGCACCTTTGCCGGCCCCAAGATCGCCGACCTCTTCTACACGTACCACAACTTCCGCTGGGCCTTCGGCACCTTCGCCATTCTCACCGTTGCCGTGGCCCTGCCCGTCGTCATCGTCATGCTGTGGGAGCAGCGCAAGGCTGAGAAGAGCGGCGTCCTCCCCAAGGTCGAGTCCAACCGCACCTTCTTCCAGTCCGTCAAGCACTACCTCATTGAGTTTGACGCTGTCGGTATCCTTCTCGTCACCGCAGTCTTCGCTCTCATCCTGCTGCCGTTCAACATCGTTCCCTACGCTCCCAACGGCTGGAAGACTGGCTACATCATTGCCATGGAGGTCATCGGTGTTCTGTGCATCCCCGGCTTCTACGTCTGGGAGATGTACGTTGCCCCCGTCAAGTTCCTCCCCTGGAAGTACCTCAAGGAGCCCACCATCATTGGCTCGTCCCTGCTGTACTGCGTCATGTTCATCTCCATCTTCTCCTGGAACACGTACTTCGGCTCGTACCTCCAGGTTGTCCACAGGCTCGACATCACCACGGCCAACTACGTTCTCAACGCCTTCTCGCTCGCATCTGCCATCTTCAGCCCTCTGTTCGGCCTGCTCATCCGTTACACTGGCAACTTCAAGTGGGTCGCATACACTGGTCTGCCCATGATGCTGCTCGGCACTGCTCTCCTCATCCCCTTCCGCCAGCCTAGCACCTCCGTCGCCGTCCTCACCATCACGCAGGTTCTCTGCGGTCTTGGTACTGGTATGTTCGCGACGTGCGGCCAGATCGCTGTCATGGCCGTTGTCACCCACCAGGAGCTCGCCGTCGTCATTGCCATCTGGGGCATGTTTGGCGGTATCGGTTCTTCTATCGGTTTTGCCATTTCCGGCGCCATCTGGAACAACGAACTGCCCGCCCAGCTGCTCAAGCGTCTGCCTGCCTCTGCCATTGACGAAGCCGGTCTCATCTTTGGCGACATGGTTCTGCAAATGTCCTTTGCCGATGGCACCCCCGAGCGTGACGCCATTGTCGACTCGTACGCCTACGTCCAGAGGCACATGGTCATTGCCGGTGCGGCTCTTGCTCCCCTCTGCCTGATTGCCATCTACCTCTGGAAGAATGTCAATGTCAACAAGCTCGAGAAGGAGCAGGGTAACCAGACCAAGGGCAACGTTTGGTAAACGGTGGTTGCTTGCTGTTTGGAGTTCTGGATATTATGATTGTAGAGCGGCACGAGGCTGGATATCGTTCCTCGCGATCATGCCTACAAAGTCTTTTCCGCGACTAGATCTTCGAGTTGTAATCTGTTAGCTTTGATTAAAATGAATCAAGCGTCTTCGTTCAAACTTTCTTGAGTCGTGTGTTGCATGCGTGCCTGTACTTTGGAACGCTCAGGACGTGATTGTCGCGATTTGCCGAACGACCTGGTGGCGACTTCGGAGACCTTGAGGATACCGCAAGCAAACTTGTCCGGACCTGGAGGTTGTGGCCAACCCAATCAATTGACAAGGTCTATCAAGTTCGTGGCGGCTGTCAAGGACATTTGGGCATCTGACCTGTTCGTTTGGGGTTCTGCCACTGGCGTGACGCTCCGATGCGCCGAATGTATCGCTGTCTGCTTACATGAGGGGGTAGACGGCGCCCCTAGATGTCTCTGACTATCTTTGTTTTGTCTGGGTTTGCAAGTTTGCAAGGCAAAGGCTTGAATACTTGATGCGCAGAAGACACGGATACATGACGGGGCGGCAGGCATGGACTGGCCTGTTACGCTGTAAAACCACGAAACTCAAATCTAAGCCAATGTGTGTAAGGAGAATGGTGATGGCGATTGCTTATAGATGTGGAAATGTTTCTGAATGCGACGTGCGATACCATGAAGAGCATATCAAGTCTAGTGGCAGTGCGTGGGGTTGAGCCGAGTGAAGAGGTCTTCCGCAATACGTCCGCAGGCCATAGATAGGTAGGGGTGTGGAACACATCTGGATTATGGCCTTCCGCAACTCGTATGTATGCGCTCTCGTAGCCCTTAGCCCTCCCTGTTCCACGATTCCGCAGGGCCTTCTGACATTCAGAGTCCAGACGAAGTTTTCTGGAAGATGGCGCGTGGCGAGACGTGGGTGACGTAGCGTTCAGCACGGTGCTGCAGTCGTCGGATGCTGTCACCGGTCTTGTAAGGTAGGACGAGTGTTATATGCATCGCTTTCATGTACTGGACACCGAGTTCGTTAGAGAATCTTGATCAGAACTTATGGTCATCCTGTATGTATTGGTTTTGGAAGACAAACAATGGCCAATCCGCCTTGAGGGCCTTAAAGAATTTCACGGCGCGCCGAGACGGGGCATTCTTGAGTCGAGGTTCGATTCATTCATATTAGACCTTGAAGGTATCCTGTGTTGAATCTCATTGCAAGCCCGGGTTGAAGCATAGAGTTGGTGTGCTTTTGCTGAGCCTCTATGGAAGGTTCAGAGATTGAGTCGGTGGAAGAATTCTTCCTTCTATCCTTCGAAGAACCGCTCAGCGTAGTTTCTAATAGAATTCTATGATACGTAAACACTCCGAACGCTGTAGAAGTATTTAGTATACAAGACTAGGAGTATCATAACCCTGGCCACAGATTTTCTACACATCCTGGGCGAAATGGTTGGATGGGTAGGGTGAAGAAACATGTCCGTAGTCAATTGCCCCTAGAGAATAGAGGCACGTCTAAAATCTGAACCGCCGCAACCCTTTTACGTATGCCTCCGTGGTCTCAAGCCCTCCCAAATTAGCCCCTGAGCTCTTATTCCATGAAGGACAAGTACCTCCTAATATCTCTCACGTTCGCATCCGCGTTTGATTCCCCGAGTAAGCTCAGTCAATAGTTCAAGGAAACAATACATGGTCCTTTGATAGGAAACACATCTACCGTCCAATCTCGCAACCTTACGATGAAACTCTCGTTGCTTCGTCCTCTTCCTCTCCCAGAAGCTCAGGCACGAGCGTGCCAAGCAGACAAACATGGCAAGCACGAGAATCACAAAATGCCCAACGTTTTACTCAAGATAATATCAATTCGCTGTAAAGTAGAAAACGCCGTCCTAGATGCAGCTCCATTGCTGTGGATATCTCTTTAGAGGCGTTGAAACCCCCACCACCCGACTTCTTGTTTTGACCACTTCTCACGCTCGACCCTGCGAGCTATTACTCTCAAGTCGACACCCAAACTCATACAATCGAGCCTTAGATCATAAGACCGCCGATGAAGCCGGCGACGGCAACACCCATGGTGAGCATGCCCCAACGGATCTCGCCGTGGGCCTCCATACCGGCGCTGGGCGCGCTGGAGGAGCTCGGGCTGGCGGAGCCGGAGGCCGAGGAGGGGGCCGCGGTCGCGGCAGCGCCGAGAGAACCGCCGCCAGTGGAGCTGGGGGCGACGTTGCTCTGAGCGTTGGCGGCAGCCTGAGAGTAAGCCTGGAGCGTCCTCTGGTTGTTGTTGGCACTGGTGTGTGTTAGAAGCCAATACACAGAGAGGATATGGGGGGAGGGAGAACATACGGAGCGTTGATGACGCCGACCATGCCGTTCTGGCAATGCTGGCCGGTGGCACAGTAGTACCACTTGGGGTTGGTGTCCTGGACGGTGACGCTGAAGACCTGGTCGGAGACGCCGCTCTGGACGCGGACGGGGCCGCTGAAGAAGCCGGTCGTGTTGAGGGGCTGGCAGGGCGAGTCGAAGCTCGACTGGGCGACCGAATGGGCCTGGGGCCAGAAGTGGAACTCGACGACGTCGCCAACGGCGGCGGTGACCTCGGCGGGCTCAAAGGTGAGGCCGTTCTCGCCAACCTTGACGACGTGGACGCCGGGGATGCTGGAGCCTGAGGCGGCGGCGGCAGCCTGAGCGGCGGCGGGGGTGGCACCGCTGCTGCTGCCGTAGGCTGCCATGGCGGCGGGGAGGAGGGGGCGAGAGTGCGGAGGCGTGCATTTTGGTTGATGTGGGTTGGTGAAGTTAGAGTTGGAGGGTATAGAGGCCTGAGTATGTGAGACGGTAGGTAGATGATGGTGTAGTTTGATTTAGATGGTTGATTGGGCTGATGAGAGGAGAGAGAGACAAACAACTTTGGATGGCGGCATCCATCCCCTCTTTATGTATCCCATCTCAACAGCTCCATGTCTGTTAGGTTTGGTCCGACCTGGGCATGGCGTGCCGGCCAAGTCAACCGATGGTTGCGAGTCGCGACTCGAGCAGTATCAGACCCTGAAGCCGTGGGCCAAAGCCAGAACCAGGGCGTCGTCGAAGCGCTGCGCACCCATGCTCGCCTTGGTCCTCAAACAGGGGTGCCGCACGAGGCGCGGGTCCCAAACAAGGCCAGGGGGGAATCGGATCGGGTAAGGCGGCGGATTCGACAAACCAAGATGGGCAGATGAACCTATCATGGCGAAGAGGGTCAGGCTTACGCATGCTGAGGTTCATTGTTGGCATCAGCGCTCAGGCGGTCGCCAGGCGGCTTGTCAAGGGGTCATGCTGTGTCAAGTGTGTCTGTGAAGGTGTCAAGCCTTCTCTGGGGTTGCGTCCGCAGGCGGAGGAGGGGTCATTGGGGTGGGTCGGGACGACTATTATGGATGGATGATTGGCCGAGGCAGCCGGCAGTAACAAAGTCTAAAACATCCCAAGATCCAGGTTCGCGTGGGTCGTCTGAAGGGCAGCTGCGGCCAATGGCTGCCTTCCCTACCCAGGGGGAAGCTTCCCCTAACGGCAACCGGCACGGCTCCAGCGCCGGCAGCACCTGCAGCAGCTTCCTTCCCAGCTTCCTTCCCAGCACCTCCCCAGCACCTCCCCAGCACCTCCCCAGCACCTCCCCAGTGTCTCCCGGGCAGCACCTCCCTAGCACCTCCGTAGTACCTCCCGGCACCTTCCCAGAACCTGTCAACACAGCCTCGACGCTAACCCCCAGCAGCAACAGAGCAGGAACCACTAGCACTTGCGGGGGAACTGTTTCTTCCCCTTCCCTGACTAGCCATTCGTTCAGCACCCAGCAACACGGCCCAAGGGCGAACAATCTCTCCGGTCCTGTGGGTTTTCTTCATGATGCCCAAGCTCAGTCACGATGCCAAAGCAATAGTCATCGGCCTTGGCCCTCTTCGGCCTCTCTGCTGCGCCTGCTAGACCTCAATTTCCCGACCCTCATAACCCAGATCATTCCTCAACACCACCAATCTCACCCGCCACCTGCCCAGATCGGCCTCTCTCACGATGCCGCCAACGTTGTCCCTGACTCGGCCGCGCACCGGTGCATCCCAGAGCGACCTACTCCCCAGCCTGCCTCGGCGGCCTCCCACCCCTACCTCTATCTGGAAAAGGCTGTTGTTGCTCATCTCACCTCGGATGGTCTGATGTTGTTGCGTCGTTCGCGCCAATGCATGCACATGCAACCCGCCCCGGCTCCGCCTCAATTCTTGACCTCCCGGCATCTAAACTTTCCGGTGCCACATGGGAATGCCGTTACGCGGCCAAGCTTTCCCAACAGCTCGCCTGCTTCCTCCTTGGTGAGGACACGCCGGCCCCGTCACAGCATTTTGCTCCCGACTCTTTGTCCAGCAAGGGAGGCTGCTGACATATCCCTACGTCCTTTTCGCAATAAGGTTCAGCGTCGTGAGTCGTCATCGCAAACGGGGGTGCTGCTTCTCGTTGTTCGTCCTGCATGATACAAGTTCCTCCGATGAGGTTGCGTCAGCTTGCGTCTTGCTATCTCCGAAGCTGGAATGATGCTGGTGCCCTCTGTTCTGCACGTCTCTCCCTGCCCTCTCCTGACCCTGAGGATCAGGCCTCGGCTCCTGACTCTCGGTTGCTGCCGAAACGATCACCGATTGATGTGTGATTCTTGGGCAATCATCATGGCCATCTTGTTGACAACAACAACAACAACAACAACAGCAACAGATTTCAGAACACTTCTGGCGCCAGCCAAGACGATCTGCGTCCACACATCCTCTGGCCTTCCGCCGCATGCTTTGACAGATCGCCACGGGGACTCTGTTTCTCGTGAAAGAGAAGAGGAGGAGGAAACGGAAACTCCTGTTTGATGTGCTGGTGCTCAAACCAGAGGCTGCCGCCTCGGAGATCCTTGCATGCTGACCCGGCATGACACCCGTAGATCAAGCGGGTTCGGGAGCGTCGGGTGCATAGACCCGTCCAAAGTCGAACCTCGTTGTCCCGCAAGCATCCCAGGCTCCTTGGTTGGATCGTTCCTACTGCCTCCAAAGTCTGTGTATCGGTCCGGCCAGATGGACTGAACCTGACCCATGGACTTAAGTTTAAGTCATATACTGGCATCGCTCTCGAACTTAGAACCAGCGCTGGATGTTCTGGTGAGCCTCTGCTTTCCTTGCCACGTACACATGCAGAGTAATAGTATGGCTACTAAGCACCGCTACAACGTATTTCAGATATCTGATCACAGCAGCTCTCAACTTTGTTTCCCACCCCACGATCATTTCTCCAGACCAGTAGGCAGGCTCGACGCAGAAGGTCTAACGAATAAACAGCACACTTCATCAAGATTACAGCCTCAAGATGGGTGTGCAAGGAAGCGCTCGAACAGGCACGTCCATTCAGTGTGGATCATGTCGACACAATGTCTTCCAGGTCACCGATCGTTGCTTCTGTGGTTTGTGAGTTCAGCCTAGATGATGACCCCGCTCCGCCTACAACGCGACTGGGCTGGCTGTTGCCCGCGGATGCCGGTGCGATACTTCCCTCTTTCGATTGATGACTTCGACGCGCAAGACTTCCCAGCAGGGTCGAAGACGAGGTAGCAGAATACTGCTCTGTCGCCGCTTCAGCTGGGACGTGCTTCGCATCGCCAGAGTTTCCCACTTTCCAATGGATGTCTGCGCTCGTGTTCACGTCGCCGTAGAACTTTCCTGACAGAGCGGCGAGCCTCTATCATCAGCAGTAGGAATACCCACCCCGCCTGATCGACCTGTCCACCTCTTCTCCTATTACAACGCCAAGACTTTGAACTCTTTTTGCGTCCAATGCCGCTGACTGTTCAGGTTTATTCACTGCTCTATTGCCAAGCATCAGGCACGGGCTCTTCCGCTGTTAGCGTGATGTCCTGCGTAGGTTTCCCATTCTTCTGGTCTGGTTGCATCACCTCTGGGACTGGTGGCCCTACCAGACTCGCGCCGAAACCTGAGCCAATGATCGACCTATTTCTCCCCATCATCACCCCGTGGGATATATTTACGTGCCAGTCCCTGTAGAAAATGATACAACGAATTCTAGACTTCGTTGTTACTCAGTAGTCTTGATCACAAAGACGCAGTTCTTCGTTCATGCTGCAGCTGTCGTGTAGAGCACTTCCTTGCAACAGCACGCTAGTTCTGGGCAGAATGAAATGACTGCGTTCCAAACGGAGAGGCAGACTTCGATTCGGCTCCCCTGTAGCAAGATGTTGACAAGAGTTTGTGCGGCTGATGTCAATGAACGTTGGCCAACTTTGCGGGAGCGGACGAACCAGACTTGGCGAGGGACTTGCTAACCCGAACCCTTACCTGGGAACGCCGTCACCCCAATTCAACGTCTCTTCCGCATGCCCCTCCGGGCTGATTTTCTGATTTACCCCTATTTGAGTTTTTCATTTGGGCCTGAAGCTCGGAGGGGGAGGGGTGCGAACCTGTTTATGAAGACTGATCGAGTGCGCGGCTGCATCGCGGGGCGGGGGCTGGGGAAATTTTCGGTTCGACGCGTATTTGCGTCGAGCATGTCTTTTGAAGCCACATTTAGTCGAAATAGGTACTCGACATAAGGTTTGTGCTTTGTTCAAAGGCATTTTGACCTCGGACGTGTTCAGCAACGTGATCTTCTACCCGGGCTCCTGGCTAATAGACTTCTGCCTTCGGCTTACGCATGGCTCGGTCTGAACGAGATTTAGGAAAATCAAGAGTCAACGCCAATGCTTTTCCCGGGGATGACGCAACATCTCATGTCGACAATCAAATGCATGTAAGCCCCTCAGCTTCAATTTTTTTTTTTTTTTTTTGGGGGGGGGGGGGGGGGTTTGCGTACACAGAAAGTGAAGACTAATGATCGAGCAAGAATGAGAGAAGGAAGATGAGAAAGATTCAAAACAGAAGCAACATGAGGCCTGTCCACTAGATTCGCTTGATTTTTCATTCTCGGCAGTGCTGCGAAATTCGGCCGTGAAGACGACGACGCCAGTGGACATCGACCACCATCGTTCCCAATCACGTTTCAAACAACCTCAGCATCCAGAACGCCGTCAAGTACAACCGAGCTTATCAGGGCCTGCAATCCAGCGTGAAGAAGTCGAAGACGGAATAGCACCACTTTAGTGAACGAGATGTATTCTTCTAATGAAATAGACGGCCAATTGCAAGCGGCAAGCCACGAGGCGTCCGCAGGACAGAAAACAGAAACACGCTCAATAGCCCACGCAGACATCCATCAGCAGGGGCAGGGGAAGACACAGAAGTTGCAGGGAATCGGGCACGGGATGATGAAGCAGAACCGTCCCGGACACGCCTCGCCGCCGCGCAGCGTGAGCTCTGCATCGTCAGCGGAGCGGTCTTCCTGCGACACTTGGGGCTCTTGAGCGTCTAGGCTCGCCATGTTAGCTAAGATGCAAACGGGGCGATGTTGTCATGCGCGCGCGCGGCGACGAAATGGAGAGCTCACTCATGGCCATGGCGTCCTGCGACTTGGGCTGCTCAGTGTGCACTGGCGCCGGGGCGCGGGGCATGCTTGATTGGTCGGACATGTTGGAAAGAGGAGATTGATAAAAGAGGATGTTCGTGGTGATGAGAGATGCGATGATGCGATATCGTGGTTCAGGAGAATGCGATCTTGATGAGCTTGGCAGGATGATGGAAGGCTGGGGCTGAGGGAGGTCGTTGGCTGATGGCTGTGCTGGCTGAGCTCCGCCTCACTGCGACGTCATCGATGGCTGGGGCTCGACTGGCTTCACCTCGGCTCACCGAAAACGTCGGGCGGAACACAATAACACTATTAGATCACTGTCGAGCTCGAGGATCTCACTGACAGAATATAGCCCGCAGCTCAAAATCGAACATCCATTTTCACCCCGAAAGCTCTCCATCAATATAGATCTTGACCTTCTCATTATAGAAACAGAGCATACCGGCGATCGCCGCGCATTCGATGGTCGGATGCCGATAGTACCAGACCAAGTCTTCCAAGGTTGTTTCATGATTGAGTCGGACATTGTAGTAGCTTGCGATGCCTTTATAGGGACACTCGGTCACTGTGTCTGACTTCAACAACTGCGCAGACCTTTGGACCACGGCTGTGTAGGGGATGTAGTAGCGCGTTGGGAGGCGGCTTTCCAGCAAGTGGACCGAGTAGGGAGACTCGGCGAGAAGTCGACCGTCACACTCGATACGGATCTTGCGCCCGGAATGGAGGAGCTCAACGCGCAGGTCGGGGTTCTTTGGATGAACATAGATCGGCGTGTCTTCTTCGAGCCACTGATCTGTGTCGCAAACGGGTCGCGTCAGCTGGGTTAGAGAGGCTCATGGGCGGTCGAGGCCGCAGAAGGGGAGAATGAAAAACAGAGCGCACCCACCCATACTCCCAAACTCGAAACGAACAAGATTCTGCAGTGGCCCACGGTCGTGGCTCATTCTGAGCCTCATTACGCTCCTAAACGGGAGCCCAAAGGCAGGATGATCCTCGCGAAGCAAGTCTACGCCTTGCACTTCCATGACATTGAAGCTGAATACTTGCCTGGTGGCATCTCCATCCGAGGCGACGACGGGACCGACGTTGGATGAATGAATGTTCATCAAGTCATCTTCAGGGATGTAGTATTGCGGATACGCCGCATGTTCCCACGCGAGCAACCCTCTCCTCGAGTCGGCAATGGTGCTTCCATGATGTACGACACGAATTCGACGTGTTGCTGGTTCCGTGCGCAGGAACCCGTGCACGAGGAGATAGAGCCCGAGTTGGTGCAAGCTGTAGATGTCAGTCGAACAGGCCTCGGTGCAGGCTTCAACTACAACGCTCACTCGCAGCCCTGAGCTCCAACCTTGACCGTATCCGTCTTCATAGCGGCGACAGGTCCCGACATTTGATGCACTCTTTGAAGCAGACTATGCGAAGATACAACCAGCAAGGGGCTGCAATATTCCGCCAGATGCAGCCTTCAAGTGTGACGATGGATAAGTTGACAACCCGAGCGATCTCACTGTTCATGGCCAATCGCGCCCAGAATCTCGAATTGGCGATGGAAGGTCAGGTGATGGGGGACGTGCATAACTAACTCACGCCCACGCCTTTCCAAAATACACCTATCGATCACTGGGACTTGATGGTGACACAAACTATCGCAGCCATGACTGATTCACGACATGCTCTATCCCAAAACCAACGGACCGTATCGTGAACTGGTTCACGACGATACATCCGCTGGTAGCGCGTCCGAGGTAGTCTGCCTCACGAGCCAGCCTCACACACCTGAGTCACTCGGCGGCGACGACTCACAACAAGAGGCATCCAAGCACCAACTCACTTGAGGAGTCTACAAAAGCTTCACGCCCCAAAGGACCAGCCATAATCATGTCGCGTCCCATCTTCCTCTCAATACCAAAATTTCCATTCAGGATCCCTACCGAGCTCCATTTCGCAAAAATGACAACCACACACAACCCCGTCGAGGCGACCCAAGCCTCGCCATCCTCATCACTGCCCCTCCCCTCCACACCCGTCTACTTCTGGCGCGAGACAGACCCTGACTCGGGCTTCCTCTCCCAATGGGCCCCCTCCCCCTTCCCGCACCCCACCAACCCGTCCCTCGTCTTCCGAACCGCCGAGCACTACATGATGTACCGCAAGGCGCCCTCTTCGACCCGTCCCAGCAGGCCGCCATCCTCACCGCGACGCACCCGCGCCAGGTCAAGGCTCTCGGGCGCAAGGTCAAGAACTTTGACGCCGCGACGTGGGAGGACCGGCGCGAGGCCATCGTGACGGAGGGCACGAGGCTCAAGTTTACGACGGGCGCTGGGGCCGCGGAGCGGAGACGCCGGCTGCTGGCCACGGGCACGGGGGAGCTGGTCGAGGCGAGCCCCTTTGACCCCATCTGGGGCGTCGGGTTTGCGCCGCACGTTGCGCCGACGGTCGACCGGGAGGCGTGGGGGCTTAATCTGCTGGGCAAGGCGTTGATGGTCGTGAGGGACGAGTTGAGGACGGCGGAGGGTCGGGCGGGCTGACTGGCGAGGAAAGGAGGGCAGGATGCTGGGGAGGAGGGGACGTCTGCGAACCAGCAGTACGAACTGTAGAGACCGGGATGCTGTTGAACATTGTACCAAAATTTGAACGCAAGCAACTTCGTCTCAGGCAAGCACATGAATATCAGATTCAGGTTTGGCTCAAAGGGTCATTCCACCGAACGGCCTGGACTGGTCGCACTGACTGAACATTGTGAACCATGTGCTGCGACCCAGGACGTCAAACGGACGTCTGGCATCTTGATTAAAACAAACTGCTCGGCAGACGGCAGAGCCCTTGCCAGGTGCCTCGCAGGCTATTCAATATTCGTACAAGGTAGCCTCCTCGAGGCGAGAGCGGTGTTGGTTCTCCCCGGCCGCAGACCGCAGGCGGCAAGACTCCGCAGATAGTTGGTCCTTCTGTCTGTTTTCTTTCTCCTCCTCTGTGTCTGCATCGGCATCTGCTTCCTCCCAGAAATCGCCTTGTATCCCCCTCCAAAATGCCCCCGGTCTAGTTTTTTGTACATTATTGAAACATCAGAATGACAGAAAGTGTCACATCCAATCGCCAGCGTATGAGAGTGTTGGTGATCGAGCCGAGCCGAAAAAAGACAGGGCCGGCTCGGCGTCGATGATGGTGGTTTTCCCGCTTAGTAGTAGTCGCGTCCGCTCTTCTGCATCTCGATGAGCCTCCATCCCCTCGTCTCCGGGTTGCTGACATCGTCGGGCAGCCTTGTGATGCCGATGGCGTACGTCACCAGCTGCACCTTGTCCTCCATACCGGCCGCGAGCTCGTTGGTCTTGGCGTTGCGGTAGACGTGCACCTCCTGGGTGCGGCAGGTGATGACAAACACGGGAATGTCGCCGGGCTCGAGCATGCGCGCCTTGGCGATGTCGACGTGGCGGATATCGAGGATGCGGCCGTCCGACTTCATGCCGGCCTTGAGGTATTGCTTTGTGAGAGCGTCATAGACGGAGTACTGCGCTTCCGAGAGCCACAGCTTCAGGGTTGGGACGTCACCCTTGACGTATGCGTCGAGGACCTCGGGAAGAATGTATTCGCGCAGCTCCGTGAGGAAGGGCTCCATCTTGAAGTTGGGATCCATCTCGCGGAACTTCTTGATTACCTGAGCCTGCTCGTTCTCGGCGAACCAACCCCCGATGGTGTCGGTGATGCTTCGTGCCGTTGAGATGAGGGGGTTCTCGGACTCCTGGTAGACCTTGCCAGCGCTGAAGAAGCCCTGGACAACCTTGTTCTGGTCGCGGAAGTCTCTCCACGCCTCCTTCCAGGCAGCATCCTTGTGAAGCGTGACGTTGGTGCCAGCCCTGTGACTATCGTTAGCGAAATTCACGAATTGGAAATGCGGAGGATGCCAGCGTACTCAGGGTCCTCAACAAAGTTCTCTGGCGTCTCGCCCCTGAGAGCTCTCTCAGCCTCACGCTTTTGCCTGCGCTCCTCCTTCTCTACCCAGCCGCCGTAACGCGAAGAGCTGCCGTCATCAATGACATCCTTGACGTTCTTGTAGGCCTCGGTCTCACGGATGGGCTTGGTCGCCTTGTCGAGGGCATCGCCGGTGACGTTGGCGACCTTGCGAACACCCTTGACGGCGCTCGTGTCCCAGGTCCACGCAGCGCCCTTGCCAATGGCGCCGGCCGTCGTCTTGACAACGGTCGATGTTGTCTTACCGATGGCGCCCGTGGTGGTCTGGTAGGCCTCGCGGGCCTTGCGTACGCGCTCGCTCTCCTGGAAGGTCTGGATCTCGCCAGAGAGGGCCTTGGTCGACTCGTTCCACTCCTTGGACTTCTTGAGCTCCGTGTTCATCGTCTCCATGAAGACCTGCCACGGTGTCATGTCACCGTGGGGCGGAGGCGGAGGGGCGTCCTCCTTCTTCTTCTCCTCCTGCTTGCCATCGCCCTCTTCGCCCTCCTTCTTCTTGTCGCCGGACGAGGCGCCCTCCTTGTCGGCTGACTCGGAGGAGGACTTGGTGTTCTCCTCCTCGGCGGCCTTGGAAGCTTCCTCGGCAGGCTTCGTCTCAGCCTGGGGCTTCTCTTGTTTTTGCCATGTCGGCGTCGCTACGTGGAAGGAGCGGGCTGGTGTGGCAGAGATGAGGGGTCGGATCTCATGGGGAAGGAAGGATGATCGTAGAGTAGTAGGGCGAAGAGAGGAGGAGGAGGAGAGCTGTTGAGAGGAGAATTGTTGGATGCGGATGGAGGCGAGGCTGTCGGTGGACTGGAGACGATATGTCTGGGTCCTGCCAGTCGCAGGGGCGCTGCTACGAGCAGATGCCCTCGTCAGAGCAGTAGGCGCGACGCTCCGTGAAGACCGGGCAAAAGAGTTCATGATGAAGTAAAAGCGTTCCGCCTCCCAGGTATGGGTGTTTGCGATGCGCAGGATGGGGAGGGGGCAGAGACGACTCGGTCGGGGGCGGAGAGGCAAGTACCTTAGGCCGGGTGAAATTTGGCCGGATCAAAATTTGGGGCGCGACGAGGATTTCTGCGATCTCGGCTCCAGGCGGGCCGCGGCGCGGGCAGGGGGTCGAAGGTCGTGGAAGGGGACCCTAAAAGGAGGTACCTAGGTACCATTGCCATTTAGCCGTGCTTCAGCCGGCTGAGGCCAGGACCACCAGCGACAGGACGTCCACCCCTGAATTGGGCCAATCGGGACATGGCGTGCCAGGAAGCTGTTCGAAAAAATCCAGGTCACCCAAGCAGTATCTACGACTGGCTCTCCTTGACGCCATCCACGATCCGAACATCGACACATATCGGCGGCAGTGCAGCATCGTCTGTCGACCACACCCATAATAAAAATGAGCGGCCCTTCAGCAAGCCGCTTCCTCGCGAGGACGGCGTTTCAATCCATCGCCCGTCCCACCTCTGTAACCGCGATGCTCTCCCTCTCTCT